CGCATCCCCCTGTTGTGCCACCCGTTAATAAAAAACCTGGAAACGCCCCTGTTAGTTGACACTTGTAGGTCAAACAGCTGTGTGCGTGTTTACATGAGCGCGTGAGACTGTGAGAAGACTCCACCACACAGAGAAACGTGTTATAAACGACCTTTTACGACTTTTATGTGAAAACACAAGCCTGAGCATCAGAAGCGCTCATCCTGCAGCTCGCTGCCCTCTCGTACTTTGCATAGATACCGTCCTTGCTTCCGGACTTTTTTATAACTTGCGGGCTATAATGCAAGTTAACTTTTACTTCCTTGTACACACACGCGGATAGAGGAACTGGCCGTTTTGCGGGTGGCCTTTTTGTCAGCGCTCTACATCCTCTCCTGTTTCACTTCAAAACTTTCAAATCATGATTAGATAGAAAACAAACGAGCGGCGACTTTGGGAGCTGTAAGGAATCGATTTCACTCACAAGGTAAGCCGGACACTTTACTTTTCTTTATTTTTTTTCCTCCTTTTCTGTTTTTGGTGTCAGTTTTCTAGCGGCCGCGGTGTGACACAGTTCAGCTGGCTGAGGGGAAATCCGCTTTTTGCTGGCGGCAGCTGCAGCAGTGTGTGCGGGGCTGCAGAGGATGTGTCTGACCAGGCGGCTCAGCGTGGAGGCAACTCCGTGTCAGAGCGGGACCGGTACCTCCGAAAGCCTTCACGCACGGCGCACTTTACATTTCTTCTATGGGGAACTCGTTTTGAGGTGAACCGTTGGGTCCACGTGGAAGAGTTTCACCCATATTTAATTCCAATACTTCAAACTTCACTGTGTTGGTCAGGATAACAGACACGGGGCCCTCTGCGGCTTTAGCGGGGCTTTGTGCAGCTGTTGTGCCATTTTATTGTAGTTTTGCGCCACTTTTGTGAGACTTTTTCTATTCCATAAAAGTCGTCTTTGTGTGATATTGCATTTCCTTGTTGTTGCTTCTTCTCCTGCCTTGTTTGGGGTTATTTGTGTGCTTTTTGTCTTTGTTGGTCGTTTTGCGTCAGTTTCACTGCTGGAAGGTTCGTTATTGAATATTAAGAGGTCGCAGATTACTAGTTGCTCTGCTAAAAACGTCTTGCATGAATACCTGTAATGAGATGATCTGATAATGTGGTTGTATTTTTAGGCAATTTTAAGTGATCTGTGCAGGAGACCTGATTTAAATCAGGGTGTGCACGTTATTTTAGTTCATGCGTCACATAAAGACTAAATGTGATCTGAAGTGTGCCAGACCATTAAAATCTCAGCACCATAACCTGTAATGTCAGTATTATGAAAACAATACGTCCTTAAAAAACTCAAAAAACCAAAAATATTGTTTTTTTTCTCCTCAAGTTAGCAATCCGTCTTTAAAACAGGAGTAATAGCGTATATGTTTCCCACATTCAGTGACTCTGCTGTCTTTGGATCTCAGTGGAAAGGCACAAAGCTTTACATCTTCACCATTCAAACAACTAATTCACAATTCAGGTCTTTTCATGCCTGTGTGGTAATACTGGCATCACCACACCAGCAGCAGTGTGCTTGTTCTTTTCTGACAAGGTCTTTGGCACAGGATTGTGTGTTCTGCATTAGATGTTTCCTCAGCAGCACGTTCGCTGCTGCTAAACAAGTTTGATTCTATTTAGGGCTGATTTCTGATTTTAAATGGAAACAAAATGTTGAATTTCCAGCCGTGCAAGGCACT